TTGTTCCCGGAACTGAAGAGGCGCATGAAAGGACGACACTACACCACGATTGAGGAGATAAAGACGGCATCGACAAGATCACAAAAATGATTTATCAACATGCTTCGACGATTGGAAAAAACGTAATCAGTAGTGTATAATGTCTGATGGGGATTACTTTGAAGGGAACAAAATAGATATTCATGAATAAATAAATAATTCTTGAAAAAACATGAAATTCGCATACTTTCTAAACAAACCTCGTATATTTATTATAGGTTTACGTTGAATCAGTTACAGGTTTATTCAATCCTATATTAGTTCTAGTGGGAATCTGGTACAAATTATAGTGTGATCTTGTTTCATAGCCATGTGTGATCAGCTTTTATATTACACTTTGTTGGTTATTTAAAAGTTTGCAGATCAATTTAAATTTTTCTAATTTCAACAACTTACCTAGCCTAATATCGTTTGATTCCGCATACATCTTGTCCGTATTGGCAAGGCAGTCATGGTTGAACTAAAGTTCTTAATATTCTATTTTGTGAAACTTGTTGCTTTATGTAATCCAGTTTTACTATACAGTCCCCAATTAGGTAACGTATCCCAAGTGTCTCAAGAAAAATGCATAACAATTGTTCATTTTCCCCTTTATGGGTAGGTAGTCTCTACTCTGGTACAAGGCAGCTACCATCGATGTTGTTTATAATAACAGAATCAAAGCGGTTTTAGAAAAAGGCTTTTATCAAGATGTTAGTGAATGAACTATGAATTGTAAAACATTTTTTTTATTAGAAATATACCTATAGTTTTACACTGTTTAACCTTTAAACTATAATGAAACTCCTGCGTTCCAAGTATTCAAGTAAAAGCGTGTTACAGCCTTTTGTCTCGTGTTGTTAAAATGCATGTCCTTATTGACATATCCTCGTTACCGACAGTCTACGCCACCTATACCCAGCCTCAGCCGCAATCGCTCAGCTACAGCTTCACCAAATGAATCCGCTCTGACACGTGTTTAACACCCTTGAACGCTATTGTCACCCTAAGTTTCTTATTTACTAATATCGAAATTTTGATTTGCTTCTACTTCTATTACTTGTCCTCTAGTGAATCTGTATTCCGTTCGTGACCCTTGTATGTCGTGTTCTAAGGGCAACAGTCTCTACAAAAATTACCCACCACTATATACTAGACATAGCCTCGAGCGATCACTTTGCGATAATCCGATGAAGACCTTCACAAAAAAAATATATTTTGCAGACGATGTAGATGTAAATAAAGTTCGTAATAAATAATCAATGAGAGGGCAAATATTTACAACGTATTGAAGGATTAAGAGCGGTATATAGCCCAGTAAATAAACACTTCAGACCTAACAAATATTCTACTATGCAGATTTGGAGTGCGAATATTGAAATATTATTCTAATGAAAGGTTTGTGATCCCGCGGTTGTCATCGTCTAAAAAAAAATGTTTGAAAACCTTTTTGTTATTTCTCTTATGCCGGAACACCGCGGCTGTTATGATGATCCGAAAGAAATTTTGTTAATATGATTTTTGAACTGCCTAAGGTTAGTAGAACTGGGAAAAGCTTCCTCTTCTAGATTGTTCCACAATCTCGACACCCTCGGTACAAAGGACCGGTCGTATCGGCCAGTTCTGAATGCACAAAGTTCGACACGGTTAGGGTGGAACGCCAAAGTCAGGCGAGTCTGTCCGGCAGGCACATCGCGCGGCGGCATCATGGAAGAGAGCTCTGAGGAGCAAAGCCCGTTGGTGTAGCGTTAGAAAAGAGCTAGATCGCCGACAGCCCTCCGGTGCGAAAGAGTCCCGAGACTGTCTGTTAGAGAAGTGTCATCGTTCAGTTGGACTGTCCTCCTCTGGACAACATCGAGCATGGATAATGTAGTCGGGGCGGCAGCACCCCAAACGTGTGAGCAATACTCGAGGCTAGGCCTTATCTGGACCTTTTATAGAGTGAGAAGGTCGTGCGGAGAAAGTACTTCTTAGCCCTAAACAAATAGCCTAGCTTTTTTTCCAGCAGCTGCAGCTATTGACGAGATGTGTTCGTGCCAAATCAGGTCCTCGGTGATCTGGACTCCGACCAGCCGAACTGAATGGCTCTTTGGCAGAACTCGACCGTCTATCGAAACTGGATGAGCGCTAGGACGCTTTTGGTTCGTCAAAGTACAGTACTGTGTTTTGGAAGCATTGAACTGTACAAGATTGTTGCGTCCCCAAGCAGTAATAGCCTCTAGGTCTCTTGTCAAAGAAGAAGTCGTCGCTACTGTTCTTTTTTCCAGCTCAGCGACAGAGATCAGCCTGTCACTCTGAATTCCTGCATATAGAGTGCTGTCATCAACGAAGCTGTGAATTGGATTGATTGTGCAGGAAAGGAGGTCGTTAATATGTAAAAGGAACAGTGTTGGAACCAAGACCGATCCCTGGCGAACACCCGCGCTGACGTTGTGGGATGAAGAGGAGAACTCTTCAATTACGACGGATATCTTGCGGCCAGAGATAAAGTCAGCCACCCATCTGCAAAGCTTTCCTGGGAGGCCATAGGATGGAAGTTTGCTTAAGAGGGCAGTTAGTGAAAATTGCACAGGTGTAGAGAAAAATCTGAACTTCAACGTTATTGTATTAAAATTGCTTCAATAAGATCATGTTATGAAAAAACCTATTTCAATGTGAGCAATCTATTTTTTGATCTGAAGTGCTGTTTTAGGACATCTTCTGACAAACCACGTAAGTTAAATCCCAAGTATTTTTACTTCCGTTTTGTTGTATAAAAATTATATATTGGGGCAAAAAGACACTCTAATCAGAAAAGAAAATATGCCACAAAAAATTGTTTTTCTGGGAATTATTTAAGATTAACTTGAACACCAATAATAAGAGCATAAGGAGTTGAAAATATACATTAGTGAAGGTACTGAATAGTTTGTTGTACATCTCGAATTATTTAAAGATTTATATTTGGTAAAAAAGTACAAAACCATAAAACTTTGTTCAACTTGTTAATAATCTGACAAGATAACGCCTGTTTATATTGTATGTATATTGTAGGAAAAAACAAACCTGCAAAACCTGAAAAAGCTTGCGGTTTGGTGTCAAAAACGGTGCCATTGATAATGCACCCCGAAGCATAATTATTGGGTCTGAAAACTAGCAGCTGTCGGCATCGATGATGCAGCGATAAAGCGATACCCTCTAACCTCAGAGTATCGACTTCAACTCCTAATCGCAGTAACTTGCTCAGTCAATTGTCCGATTGCACCATAGGAAGTTGATGGCCGAGCCATCAGATTTAACAAGGTGTATATAACATTTGAATAGGACTTGATGCCAGATTGCCCGGAAACGAAATTTTCCTGACTTAGAGAATCATGTTATTCTACCAGCAGGGAAAATCCCCTCTAGCACTCCAGACTAAAAGTAACTTCTGCCGCTACAAATTAAATTATTTTTAGAGAATTGTGCACATCTAATATGAACTGAATCAAAGTATCGATCGGCCTGGCCTCTCTCTAGGCATTTTTATTAACTTTTGTGGAAAAGTACTTTATTTTATTTTGCAATTTGAAACCAGAGCAACTTCCTGGCCAAGGCATCATAACTGTTTAGTGTGGTCCGATTTGCAAATCTGAATAATTCATACTTGTGAGTGTCCCCAGAAATTATATAATATCAGTGGAGTAATCATAACATTTACGTAACTGTAACCATGGAAATGTAGACTCACGGAACGGTGGCGAAAGCTGAAAAAAATGCACGTGCTCTCGCTGGAAAATTATATATGGGTGTTATTTGTACAGCTATTTTGCATTCCAGCTACCAGCATAGAATGGCAAACAATTTATTAGAACTTTTTTTATGCCATAGAAGTAGTTTTCACAAAATAGTATTTTTGGTGCCTTGATGATGATACAAGATTTTTTATTAGCTTCGCAAATCAATCAATCGTACAAAAAACGTACAAGCCGGGAGGACCTCTTCAACAGACATCCTAAAAGCACAATATATACCGGGATAACATATGCTTGTTGCTACAGGCAAGAAGAACTACATCTTCTATCGGTTGTGCAAAATTTTAAATTTTGGTGCTATGTATGAAACAATAAAGGATGTAATAGTTAGGGAAACCTGAAACTCACAGATCATCAATACAAGATAATTCATGGACATTTTAAAATTGCTCGATTTAACTTATTGAAGTCTCAAAACTTACAGGACGAACAAAAAGAAGTTTGGGTGTATGATCTCTCTTTTACACTGAATAAGGCCATTAATACACCTAACCTGTCAAGGCAGTACATGATACCTTAAGTTTCATCAAAATTGATGAGGTAGTTCCTAGGATCACGTGGGTACATGAAATCTGGGGACAAGTGACAAATCATGCAAGCTTATAGTGTCATTCCAGAAAACCCATGATCGTAATACTTCTCCAATATGTGGAGTAGGTAGCAAAAACCGTAAGTGAGCACCATATAACTGCTAAGAAACTAGGGTGACAAGATTCAGTCTTCAATACCACCATGTAGCTCTTTATTAACCGCTCACTCGACATATTCTGTTCACCTTCACCAAATATAATTATTTCCTGTAGTTGTCAGTTTCATCGGATTGTGTTTGAGAAAGGCCACCGGTAGGGGACAGTGGGGATAGATACAGAGACAAATAGCCATCGTAGCTACTTTATTATCACTATAGAAAGTTCAACGGCAAATAATTGTCACAGAATCGGCACTTACACTTCTATATAGTTCTGTGAAAATTCACTGGATTTCCTGTAAACAATGCTGATAAAGTGGGCCGTATGTAAATTGCCTATGTTATTCCATGGCCTACCTGTTTTCCAATTCACGGTGAAATGCTTCCGGTGACAGAAACGCATTAGCATTGTAAACCTGTAGACGGGTACGTGTTTGTTGTTTGACCGAACCGTGTCTTTTTCGTTTTGCGGTTTATTGTTTGCCTCCGTCATAATTGTCCATTGTTGACATTTCTTGTATCTAGTCACATTTACAACCATTAGTGGATTGGTCAGCTGTAACCAACGAATTCGGATTAGGTAGAAGGAGCAAGCAAATGATTTGTTTTGAACCAACATTACGTATAGTCAGTAGTAAGGATGGCGGTCCACACACGAGTAGATCAAGCTGTTTGACACCTGCTGATGCCTCACGTTAAATTTGTATTTTTCCACGAAAACATGTAAAGATGCGTGGATTCCATACAATCCCAGTGAACCAGGTAACTTTTGAAAACGGTGCATGTTTGTGTGGGATGCAAAAAGCAGTTTAAATTGAATAAGAGAAAATATTTGTACCGATAAGACTTAGCATATTCTATTCATCAGCATCTACATCAATTTTGGGCTTTTACCTGGTCAGTTGTGAGGTAATTTTGATTTATTCCATTCCACTTCTATCTGTTTAAGCGCGTAGACCCAATCTAATGTTTGTTACATACGTATGATGGGTAGTTTTTTAGCTAATCGCTTCCAAGGAGTTACTATCTATATGAATGTGTCGCCTAAATGTGCCATTTCATCTGGAATACCCCGAGGTTCTGTACTCGGGCCATTATTATTTAATTTATACTCGTATATCGCCGACATGCACAGATTTGTGAAACATTGAAGTACTCAATTTTTTGCTGATGACTCTCAAATTTATAATCTCTTCCATAGTAGCAACTCTCAAGCTGCTGAATATGAAATTAATGAAGATATAAAATTGATTAGTGTACATTCATACCTTGCACCTATCAAATTACGAATTAATCAGAATTGTTCATATACTGTACCGTTAGTAAATATGTGCCTTCGTTTATTTGTCTTATTTAACTTATCCCTGTTTATTACCACAAACTGTGCGAGTCATATTGCAAAACATAGTAGTTCTGCCCTGCTGTACGTAAGTATGCCCAGTATGATTGGCTACCTGAAAATCCTCTCCATAGAAAACAATGTACGCCGATGTATTGACTTGTCACTTTGGTATCCAATGGTAACCAAATTATCCGAAAGCATGCATTAAAGCTACACAATCTCGACGACAAACAACGCAATTTAAACATGTAAACATATAGGCTTGCTCGCTTCCTTTTCGACATCCTTGTCGCCTCGTGAAAGTCACATGTTAGAATGTCAGAAATGGTAGATGCCCTCAGTAGCATGACCACTCAGCACTTTAAAACCTGAGATAAAATCTTATTGAAACTTCAGCTATTGTATACGTGAAAAAGGGCCAAGAACAAACCTTAACTCATATAAGGCAATATAGTTTCTTCCTCCTCACGAGAAAAATTAACTTTGGGGAGTTAGTAATATTGCATGAGGTTTGATCAATTCTTGATAATCCAAATGATTTAATTGACTTTGAACGACATTTTGTGAGGCTATTACTACTCAATAAGATGTCAAAAAAACGATGAATGCGACAGAGCCATTCAGAAGTTATCTAAGAATGATCGATATCAAGTGGGGCCCTTCAAGACCCTGTGCCTCAATAGGGAAGCCTCATACGGCATTTTAATCTTTTAATGTATGAGATGTACAGGGTGGCCAACTACGAATGCGAGGTTCTGTATCTGGGAACCTGTCCATCTTAGCGGCTTGCGGCAAAAACAGTTGTTACTAAAACCGCCAAGAGAAAAACCTGGAAAATGTTAAGTAGTGGGGAGGGGTATTCAAAGGTTTCCGTAGAGAACACCCTGTTCCTTCGAAACGGCTGAGGCAATTTTAACAAACTTGGACTCGTTCAAAAGACCTATTCTTGGGCTACAAATGTTATAATATTTGAGGTTTTGTTAGTTTCACATGTGACCGCTAGAGGGCTTTTTTCGACATTCCGTTTTGTTAATTTACTCAAAAAACTAAATACATTAATATGATCTTTTTTCTAAAAAAGGCAGCTAAAATAACAAAAGGCATATTTTTTGTTTAAATGTATACTATGGGTATACCATATACGAAAAAGACAATTAATAGAAGCAGGCCATGGAATACAGCAAAACAAATACCTAATCAAAACATAAACTATAATTCTCAATAACGCGAAACTATTGGCAGCTATTGACAATTCGAGGATTGTTTATGTTTTGATTAGGTATCTGTTTTAGTGTATTCCATTGCCTGCATATATTAATTGTCTTTTTCGTATATAGCCATAGGTGATATGCAATTAAGCAAAAAATATTCCTTTTGTTATTAGCATTACTTACTTACCTTTTAGCGATATTTTATAAATTTTTCAAAAAGGGTGATTTTATGCTGAGGAATAAAACAAGATTCCAGAAAAATTAGTTTAAAAAAATAAAAAATTAAGGCATTTCCGTATAAAATTTTCGTTGGCCTAAACTTTAGATTAGGAACAATATATCGAGATGCGGTCTTCGCGAGCTTATTTATACATCATTTAGTTAATCTTTCATAAAAAAATCATACCAATGCATTCATTTTTTTTTCAAAGTTAACCATTTCTCTCGAAATGTCGAAAAAATCCTTCTAGCGGCCACATGTGAAACTAACAAAACCTCAACTAGTATAACATTTGTAGCCCAGGAATGCTTCTTTTGAACTGGCCTAAGTTTGGGAAGGGCGGCTCAGCCCTTCCGAAGATACAGGGTGTTCTCTACGAAAACCCTTCAATGCCCCCCATCACTTTATTTTTTGAGATACAGGAAAAATTGTCTAACCAAAAAGGTTCAGAGTTCCTTCGAGTTTAAAGATCAGGCATTTGTTGTTAGTTTATAATAGAGGAATCCATAGAGACGTCACTAGTTGGCCTTGGCCACCCTGTACAGACAATATGATGGATAGTCTAAATCAAATCGTGGTGACTATTTTCCAGTTTCCGTATCGATGTCTACTAAATGGGCCAGAGTATCGAGTGAAAATTTATGAATATATTACCGCACTTTTCTCTTTTTTTCCTTACGCTTGCTTTCGCGTTATAAATAGTTATTCTACATTCTCATTAGAGTGCCACGAGATTCTATTGAAGAAGCTCGTACGCGCCAAGAAAGCTATGAATATTAAATTAGTTAAATCAATTCCAAACCGTTTAATTGGATAAGTATAGTGACAATGATATAATACGAGTGTTGTCTTTTGAGTTTTGCATATAGAAACATAGTAGGCGGCGCGGATCGAAAGTCAGTACTGAATCTTAACCTCACTCTTTAGTAAAGTTAAATTCGAAGTTTCACAACAATACGTGCAGTGTTCTCACTACAGTGAATTTTTAAGTCATTGGAAAAATGGAACTCAACCGAGAACATTTTCGCGCCATAATTTATTACAACTTTCAAATACAATTATCGCAACAAGAATGCCTTGCTGAGTTACTGTCTGTTTTCGGCAATAAAGCGCCACATCAGTCGACAATTTCTCGTTGGTATGGAGAATTCAAACGTGGACGAGTGAGTCTTAGCGACGAACTCAGGGTGGGTGCACCAAAAACGGCAGTCACCCAGGAAAACGTCGATGCTGTGCGCAAACTCATCATTGAAGATAGACATGTGACATATCGCGAGATTGAGGCGTCCTTGAAGATCTCAAAGACCTCAATTCAAAAAAAAATACATGAAGAATTAGGAGTAAGAAAATTAGTTTCTCCTTGGATACCCCACCTGTTGACCGAAGAGCAGAAGGCAGCCAGGGTTAATTAGTGTCAAAAAACGGTTGACCGTTTCAATTCCGGAAACTCAAAAATGTGTACAGCATTGTTAGTGGTGATGAATCGTGGATTTACTGTTATGAATCAAAAAGTAAACGACAGTCGGCTGTTTGGGTGTTCCAAGGTGAAGAAAATCCAACAAAAAGCATCCGTTCTCGAAGTGTTTCGAAAAAGATGGTCGCGACATTTGCGTCAAAGCGGGTCATATTGCAACGATTACTCTTAATGAGCAAAGAACTGTTACTGCGGATTGGTATACCACCATTTGTTTGCCAAAAGTCATCACAGAGCTTCGAAAAATCAACCCCGAAAGAAGAATCATCCTCCACCAAGACAATGCAAGCTCGCATACAGCCCAAAAAACAAGGCAGTATTTAACGGAAGAAAACGTGGAATTATTGGACCATCCTCCATATAGTCCCGATCCAAGTCCTAACGATTTCTGTACTTTCCCGAAAATTAAAAACAGACTGCGTGGTCAAAGGTTCCAGTCACCAGAAGAAGCAGTTGACGCATTCAAAAATGCCATTTTGAATCTGCCAGCAAACGAGTGGGATGGGTGCTTCGAAAATTGGTTCGAGCGCATGCAGATGTGTATTAATCTGAGTCATTTAAAACTACCTACCGTGTTGTTTTATTTCCATACGCAAAACTTAAAAGACATCCCTCGTAGCAGTCATAGGGCGCTGTCGCGTAATTTCGATCCGGAAAATTTTTGAGACAAAAAGCGAGGTAACTAAGGTATTTACTATGGAAACTGACCCACAGGCCGTCAGGAAATGGTGCTTCCACCATGGCAATCGAGACGGAGTCGAAGGAGCAGACCGTAGAGGAGTTGAGAGTCGAATTGGAGAGTTCAAAAAAGGACGATGATAAGAAGACCAATGAAATATTGATGATGATCAGTATTTGATCAGTGCACCTCTCATTTTTTTCTTACGCTTGTTAAAGGGTTATCAAGAAGAATGAAAGTTAAACTAACTTAGTTGCAAGCGACATCATATTGTGCTTTCCCCATTTTTCTTCTCCCTACCATGTTCAGGAAACCGTTAGAAAGCCTCCTCCAGTCACAAATGAATTACTTTTGAAACAAATATCATTTCCGCATCCCACAAATCCTTGGAATTTTCCAATCATAATCTTCCCCGCGTTTCGCACCCATTATCTTGGCCCATTAGGTCAAGGAGCGCCAATATTGATTTACGCTCATAAGCAAAGTTCTCTGCTTGAATAAGCAACGCAATCGAAACTGAATATAAATACTAATATTTTACCTGCAAGGTCCAAATAATACTGTTCGCCCTTCTTGAGTGGTTCCTGTGGTAACGAGTCTAGTCGTGGTTGTGGGAAAGCTTCAGGATCTGGATAATAATGGCAGCCGTACGGCGACCAGTGCTTAGTCTTCTCTAAATTATCTACACTGTCTGAAACAAAACAAAACTGTTCATTAGTGACTAGTCTCGTAACTAGGAACAAGGTTTCAGATCGTTTTCGGCCTGTACAATAGGTCAAGCTGCCTGTTGATCGCATATAAGAAATTTTTGCATTTAATTATTCCAGAGCCTATGCATTTTAAGCACCCATCATCATTTTCATTTTATTTTAGTTTCTGATGGTCCCTTAAAGGTCCAAGGTTCACAATTCTAGCATTTTTGTCCAAAATTCTCAACACTTCCCATTTCAAATCTATAACAGTCACAAAAGATTTATAAAAAGCGTTCAGGCACTATGCTCACAATGAAAACGGAAGTTGAATTCTTATTACAGCAGTGTATTCATTTGTTTCAACTTTTGTGTTTATTGTGAGCGTATTACCGCAACACGTATAACTTTATGTTTGTTTTGCGTCTTGGTGAGGTTGATTATAGGTTTGAAGTAGGAAGTCGTGATGGTAGTCAAGTTAAATAAAAATGTCCATAAAAGTTTAAAATACATATGTTCTGAAATATAAAAACAGCATTCCATTAATGCGTCGACTGAAGGTATCAGTTATTTTTAGGGCCGAAAAATCACCTTATGGACCTTGATCCTTTGCTTTTAATTCAGAGGTATCTGGGGAAACGACCAAATACTGTGAAGCAAAATTTTGGCTTTTCAATGTGTTTTTTGAACTCGAGTTTCTCATTTTAGAAGAACTTATTGACAATTTGTACTTTGAAAAAGGCAACCGTGGTGACGGTAATGTCGGCAGACGTATTTAATCCATATGTGGCTTCATTTATCCAGAAGATCATGAAGTTGTATCAAGCTTCACTCGATTCATAGGTTCTGTTCATGAAGATTCGAAAACAAGCTAATGCGAAAACGTCACCACGATAGCTCTCCAGGCTTATATTACTTCTGGTATGAGTGGGGGGTGACACAATCTATCATTTGCTGTAAAAAACGTAAGAAATGCGAAATCGTTAAAAATGGACTTGGTCTAGTTCTGAATTAAACCAACAAGTTATGCTTATTAAAAGTTTCTTTTTGGTGAATGCAAGAAGTAATACATGAAACAGGACTTATCTAAATTATATTTAAAGTTACAAGGCTGAAGCTCAATGCACCCTTCATTTTCTCATATTTACCCACGCGTTCTCATCCAAACTTTTAGAAAGTTCTTAGTATAGAAAAGCTTATTGAAAACTATCACTACGTGGGAGCTCAAGTTGACGCTAGGTATATCTGCTTACTGTTCAAATTGACAGATTTTAGAAGCAACAAGACTCTTGCACCTTAGCACAATACGATACGATGACTGATGGTTAAGGAAATATGCTCGGAAATACTCGTAGTAGCAGTAGTAGACATTTACTTACTCCATTATCTAAGATCAATAACAACATAGAATGGGTAAATAAACGTTTCAATCCAGAGAAGGACGATGCTTGTACATGGATCAGTTGTACGATAGAATGTGCTCCAAAATTAAAACGAAAAAGTTGAAAGAAACTCAAACAAAAGCTTATGTCAGAGAGGTGTATATGATAATTTTTAAGCAATATTTGATAGGAATTCAATTAATGTTGTCTCAGTTCTGAGCGTATCCATTTTGATAAATCCTTTTTAAAATTATGTATGTGTGTCAATAGGAATATCTGCAATTCTTGGATACGTCTTCATTTTGAAGCCAACTAGAGAAAAGATCGCTTCATTACGATTTTATGAGGTATAGAGATAATTTTTGCTCGTGATTCATATAGCGTATCATGGCGATGTACCTTTGTTTAACATAATTTTCGTTTTACGAACACATTTTTGAAAACAGTAATCTGTAAAACTTCTATGTCGTTTAAGTACACTGGACATGCTGGACGCCATGCTAATATACATTAGGTGCGGCTCAATTAAGGCATGATATATAGCACGCATATAATTTTCTGTCAATATGCCTATGGCGAATTTAACTTTGTATGTAACAAATCTTATTTTCTCCAAAATGTAGGCTGCATGAATGCCCCACCTTAGAATGTTGGTCTAAAAAAAATTCCTAAATATTTTATATTGCCCACTCTGTCAATTTTTAAATTTTGTATTATTTATTTTGAAGGAAATATTTGAATAATCGCGTAGATGTCTGGCGTATGATGTGAAGGGTAGAAAATGCGTTTTTCCAAAGATCACGGTTAATTTTCTAGTGTTAAGAAAATGAATGATTTTATAAAAGTGATTCTCAATTAATCTCTTTACATCATACCAGTCTTGCCCTTTATATAGTATTGCCGTATAATAAGCAAAACTATTTTATCCCACGCAGTTAATTTTGAATATATAATTCAAATAGGTATTAAATAAAAGAGAGCCTACCACTGTACTCTGAGGTACACCACATTTGACAAACGTTTCCTTGCTGTATGATTTTGATAGTTTCACTACTTGGGGTCTTTCTGATAAACAACTTTGCATTAAAGAACATATTTTCCCACGGAAACCTAATTTGTCTAAGAGATTTATCAATAAACTGTGATTAACTATATCGAATGCCTTTTACAGATCGACAAATACACAAATAGATGGAATTTTCTCATTAAGGTTTTGGGCGATTTGATTCACTAGACTTAGTACACCATCCTGCTACAAAATCGTATTGATTTGGACTTAGAATGTTGAATTAATCAAGGAAATTTATCATCTTACTACACAGTAAATTTTTTTGACACCTTAGCCAAAGTCGATAAGAGTGATATTAGTCGATAATTGGTAACATCCATATTATCTGATGTTTTATAGATAGGATTGATAACAGCTGATTTAAAAGCAGAGGGAAATATTCCTAATCATAAACATTTACTTACAACATAAGCAAATGGTTACGATATTTGCTTGGTCATCATCTTCAGATGTTCAGCTCTTATTCCATAAGATCCTGGGTTTTTTTTTTCAGGGACATAATCGTGTTAAAAACTTCATGAGCTCTTATTCCATAAGATCCTGGGTTTTTCTTTTTTCAGCGACATAATCGTGTTAGAAACTTAATGAGCATCGATTTCGATCAGAACAAATGAGTTTACTAATCTTTTTGCATATAACTTAAATTTATTATAATCGCTTAGTAGGTTCAATAAACAGATCTCATCTTCCGATACATTGGAAGGTAAAACGTAAGCAACGCGATAGTCGAATAAAGCGATAGTGACACCAATTTCATAAATACTTGCGCAACATTTCACCTACACAATCATAAAAAAGAAACAGGTAGCGTCGGAGAATTCAGAACTACAATTCCCAAAAGCTCTTGAGCTCAAGCTTAAATAGTGTTTAAAACGCCCAACCTCTTGCAAATAGTTTCAAATAGGAGCAGTCTCAATAGAACGTATGTATTTTAAACGTTCATCGATGTCTTAAAAGCTCAAATTTCACAAGTTTAGCATGTCGGTTCAAAATTTAGCAATTTTGAGATACTTAACTTACTGCAGAATGAAGGCTTTCACGGCTAATTCTAATGTAATTTAGGTTTTTCGGGCTGTTGAGCCATGGCCGGGTTAGATTTAGTAGTACTCGCAAACACAGCGCAAAAGCCACGTCACTCAAGAGGCCCAGAGTACCCCCACCAGACAACTCAATCCTCAGTCCGCCGATCGCCTATAAAACCGCACGCTCATCTAGTTAATCGATTGCGCATTCTGGCATCGTTCCGAGCTAGCAGCCGTTGCGAGTGTACACTTGCACGACTGCGACCCACCCGAACATATTGAGCAATCTTATTGCGATTTTCATTGCGATAGATTGGTTGTTTGCCATCTACGATGGCGAAAATTGAGAAGCTGGCTAACCAGCTGAAGGAGAAGAAAGATGCTTTCACCATGCTGGCAGGGCAAATGCGAAACCTGCAAGAAGCCTTCTTGCAGGCACAACAGGAGATCGAGGACCTGAACGGGAAGCTCCGCAGGGCCAAGAAGAAGGCCGCAAAGAAGACCGAAGAAGACGAGGAAGAGGACCACCAGGCTACGTCGGACGAGATGGACGCGCAAGAAGAGGACACCCAACGAATCGAAGAGGATAGGAAGGACCAGGACAGGGACTGCAAACAACGACGACACCGATTTCAGTGTCGCCACCAGACGGAGGAAGCGGGTGCGAGTTTCCTCCTCCGAAGACGAGTCTCCAAGGCAGCCAAAGATGCCAGCTGCCGCCACCAAGAAGAGTACTAGAGCAGCCAGGACCATCGTGCCCCCCATGTCGGGAACAGGAGTTCCTCCCATCAGCATCGACGGCACCGCTGACTGATCATCCTTAAGCAGGATGATAAACAATAAGGGGATCCAATTCTCCAAGGCGAGGACGGCGGGTAACAGTGTGAAGGTGTTCACAAACACACCAGCTGACTACCGTCAGCTAGTCGCACTGCTGCGGTGCGTAAAGTGTGGTGAGGACCACAGCAGCACCAACTGCAGTCTGCCGACACCGCCAACAGGGCAACGAAATGCCAAATGCTGCCTTTGCGGAGAAGGACACCCAGCAAACTACAAAGGATGTAGTAAGGCCCCGAGGAAACCTGCTGCTGCCCCCAAAGCAGTCTCCACCTCAAATAGGACCTCTTACGCTCAAAAAGCGTCCACTTTTGCCCCAGCAGCCGCCACTGCTACTGGAACTACTGCGCAGAAGCAACACGGCGATGACAGACTGCTAGCAATGATGCAAGCTATCATAACCCGCCTGGATGCACTCGAGGCCAAGATGCAAGACAAGCATTAGACCCGTAATGACTACAGGGCAAAACGTGGAATCTCTACGCATTATCTCCTGGAACATCAACGGATTCAGGGCACGGAAACCAGAAATCCAGGAGATACTAGACCAGTACCAACCAGATGTGATGGCCATCCAAGAAACGAAATTGGATGCTGCCCATAGCCTGACGTTCCCGCGGTACGGTACAGCTACGACAGAAGAGGCAGAGGTGGAGGAGTCGCATTACTCGTCAAACGTACCTTGACGAGTC